CTGCAACTGTATAGATAACTCCTGCATTTCATGAAGAGCCAGCCGATACGGTGCCTTGGCTATCAAAGCCACATCGGGGACTAGGTCGATCCTGAATTCCATCTGCCTCTCCGGAGGTATCCCAGGCAACTCATCGGGGAATACGTCCATAAACTCACACACCACGGGCACATCGCCCACCGTCGCCTTACCCGCCTCCCGGGTGTCAATAACATAGGCGACATATCCTGCGCAACCCTGCTGAAGGTAACGCCTAACTCTCGTTGCTGAACATACCGCTGGTCCTTGTTGTGGCCTCTCGCCTTGAACTACCAACTCTCCCCCACATGGGGTTCTAATTCGAACCAACTGATGCATTCAATCTATCACTGCCCCATTGGGGCTCAACCAATCCATGCCTATAATCACCTTATTCCCCCTCAACGGAATAGGAACCAGGTCTACCAGGTAACGCTCCTCGAACAGCCTCAAAACACAGTCCCGATAGACCTCCGATGCTCGTACCAACCGATCGTCTGCAATCTCGACCTCTAGAGGGCAATCCAACATGCCCGAAGACTCCGAAAACTTCTTGCTATGCGCAAGAGAGACAAAATATCGAGTGGCACACGAATCAAACAACACCTGAACTGGGATTCCATTCACATGGAACGATCCTAAACAAGGCACATGATATATCAAAATCACAACGACATACTATAAAAACATAAGGATAATAAATCATACCCGTCACCACATCGGGTGCAGCGCGTGCCTCCTCGGCTGTCAGCTGAAATGATCGGCTTCGAACCACTAAAGCCTCCATCTTGGCCTTCTGGCCATCTACAACCCGTCTTATCGTTGGATTCGACGCTACTGTCGGCGCCGCTGCTTCTGCCAATCTAGGGCAATTGGCCTTTTTATGGCCCTTCTGATTGCAATGAAAGCAAATCAGGTCTGACATTTGTATCGCCAGAGTAGGGGCAGTACAATCGCTGCCAAAATGCCCAACCTTGTTGCACTTATAGCAGCCTGAACTCGACCCAGTGCAACAAGCTCCCTCGTGTGACCGACTGCATTTCCCACAACAGTCCCACCCTGACTAGCCTTTTGGCCTACCATTGGATCCCTTGGGCTTCTTCCCCGAAGCCCCCGTCGTCTGCCCCTCCTCTGCCTTCCTCTTCTGGATGTGCTCCAGATCAATCTCTCTCTCCCTAGCCCTGTAAATCATGGAATCTAGGGTAGGGCAAGCTGAAAAACTGACATGCTCCCGGATATCAGCTCGTAGCATGTCATGGTGGCGGTTCCTCCTCATGTCCTCATCACCTACATACTGGGGCACCAACAAAGCCCTCTTCCGAAACTTGGCGGTGATCTCCGCCACAATCTACGTAGTCTATCCCATATCCAAGAATTCCTTGGCTAGTTGCTGAAGCTCTACAGCTGGCGCAAACTTTGCTCTGAACCGGGTCACAAAATCCGACCATGTTATAGCCGAGGCTCCCAGAAAGTCACCAAACGACTCCCACCAGTCCCTAGCCCAGTCCCTCAAACACCCTATTGCAAATCGTACCTTCGACCCCTCGGGGCAGAAGCTGGTCAGCTGTGCAAACTCAATGTCCGCAATCCATCGTCTGGCAGCAATGGGGTCCTTCGACTCATGTAAATCTGGCGCACCACTCCATCTGAAATCCTTAAAGGACAATATGTGTGGTATTGATTGGCTGGTCGCCATGTCACTCCGTAACGCCCTGAGGCGATCCTCCATCAGCTTAATGATCCCCTCCTTGATCGACCCGAAGATAACTGGCGTCGCATCAAGGATACCCCTCGTGATCTCGGACGCAATGAACTCGCGTAACCCATCATCCACATGCTCAGATCCTGCCCCCGAGCCCGATACTGACCCGAATCCTGAACCTCTTGCTCCATGTCGCGTGACCACCATTCTGAAACAATAATCATACGAATGTCAGGGTCACATATACTTTCTGGGGGGTCACACACACTTTCCAACTTTCCCAGTTCCATCTAGGTCCTCATTGGTTCGAGTACGCATCCTCTGCTTTCAGTAGTATGGGCCCATACTACCTTCCACATCTATCCATACTTTCCTCAATAATTGCTTCAACTTCACCAAGTCCCTTTTACCGATACCCTTTCCATTGACCTCATCCTAGGCTTCCCTAGGGCACTCTCCGACCTACTATCCGCCATCAACTGCACTAGGAGTCCCCACCACCTCCCCCTAACTAGTTTACGGATACTGTTACATATCCGCTCCTTAGTTAGTTGAAGTTGGTCAGAACCCCCATAGCACAAAGCAAGCAACATTCGCGCCTCGAGTAACCAAACCAGGCGTAACCTACACATGCCATCCTACTATTGACTAAATAGTCCTAGCATACAACTCATACAACAGGCACATAAGGCATCCTTCCTAAATCCTTAGCCCTAATTAGCATACAATTCTCAGAATCATATATCAGGCACACAAGGCATCCTCCTAGATCCTTAGTCCTATTCTAGCATGCAGTTCTCTGAATCAAAACCATATAACATAACATAACAAGTATGGGTATCTTGGGGAAAACTTACTTGAGCCCAGTCGGTCGCACGCATTACACACTTCGTCTTTCTTAAAATTTCTCAGTTTAGACTTTAGAAAACCATTTTTCCTTGAAAGATCTTTTAGTCCCTCGGTTTGAGTCCAGACACCCCTCGAGTGTGTGTCTGAATCCCTCAAACCAAGGCTCTAATACCAACTTGTAACGACCCAATTTTCAAGACCAAAAATTTCATTTTTGAATTAACGCATTTAATAAACATTTTACCAAAACATTGTCAATAAAACATTCCATTACAAAATCATAATGTTGTATTTCAAACCATAACGTCATAAGTATGGAGAATCAAAGTACAGTCCCAAAAACTTCTTGCGGAAACATGTGTGTGTGTGTGTGATGCACTGCTACATCGCCGACTCTTTCCCTTTCGACAAAGAGGTACCTGAACCCAAAACCAAAACTGTAAGCACAAAGCTTAGTGAGCTCCCTAATCATACCACATACCATACAATATCGTCAGTATCTTTCAACCGGTAACCTTCATCGGTATCTTTCAACCGGTAACCATCATCGGTATCTTTCAACCGGTAATCAACATCGGTATCTTTCAACCGGTAAGTGGAGACTATTTCACCCCTTACTACTAGCATACAATCAACAGATACAAGCATACAGTCAGACATATCCGGGTACTGACCTAGCCTTGGGTCCTAAGGACCACTATCAGGGAAACTAATCCTTACCATACACATAACATACTATTCAGATAAACTTCATAACAAACACATAACCAGACCAAGATAATTATCACAAAGACCATTATCTTCTAAATACCCATTTTTGGTGGGCCGATAATGTGGCCTTAGACCCACCCCTACTGGAAGGTAACTCACCTCAATATTGTGCAGTGTCTGAACTATCCTCGGCGCACAAGTCGACTCCCTACGACTCCTCGATCCCTACACGACAATCTTCAAGTCAACACACATCACATACAACCCTAAACAGGGTCAGTCCAAGTTCAGTCAAAGTCAACATTGGTCAAAGTCAACATTTAGTTGACTTGACTTGTCGAGTTGGCCAACCAACTCGTCGAGTCCATGCTTCTCTAATCCCACACAAAACCCCGGCTCCACTCGTCGAGTCTAGCAAAAACTCGACGGGTCTCCTTTAATCATAACATCGAGACCATCTTCATCCGACTCGCCGAGTTGTATGAATAACTCGTCGAGTCCATCTTCAAAGATTGGGAGATTGCTATGGACTCGCCGAGTCTGCTCATACTACTCACCGAGTCCCATGGCTTCCAGGTCCTTTTTCGTGTCTAAACACACAAGGGACTTCCTTCCTAACACTTACCCATTCACCGAAAGGGTTTGGTGCACAATGGTCACCGACTCGTCGAGTGCCAAGAACAACTCGCCGAGTCCAACCTTGACCAATTCCATACAGTTGATTTAAATGAGGTCTAACACACCAAAACCATAGACTTGGCCTCATAATGTCCATTTTATACGTAAAGTTCCAAACTTGATGCACATGCATGAAGTTTTTTGCTCAAAAATCCATATAAAATGTCCTACAATGTGCATGGGGCTCTCAGGGCCCTAAAGTTGGCACCTTTATGCCATGAAACCCCTCTTAAGGCCAAGATCTGAAGTCAAAACTCACTCAACACTTCCAAATCCGAAAAATGACTTAGAAATCCATGGAGATCCCAAATTAAAGATGACTAAACACATAGATGAGTCAAGACAGTGGCATTATACCTTGAAAATGCTGAAAATGAAGTAAGATCTCCGGATCTACAAGCCCCGACTAGATTTCCAAGCTCCTTTCTTCCTTCCAAGCTTTACAATCCACACAAGAATACCAAAGATGGCCTTAACTCACACACAAACAGCTAGGGTTCGATATGAAGCTTTCAAGAGAGTGTTAGGGACAAGGGAGGCTGAGTTAAGTTGTTTATATAGGGTGCAAACCCTCAGATTTAAGGTTTCACTTATCCAACACCTACTCGCCGAGTCAGTCACTTAAAATGTTCGCAGCCACGTCCTTACTCGACGAGTTGATCCTCCAACTCGTCGAGTCGCAGAGAAAAATACATATACTGAAGCAAAACATACCAAGTGTTACATTTCATATCCTTTAAAATATCGGAATGTATCTATGATCTATGTATGAAAGAAGACTTTTAAAAGTATAAACCTATTTTTTGTAGAAAATAATTTTGTCATGCACCTACAAAAATTGGAACTTGTTTTTAGGCACATTTATTTCAACAATTTAAAAGACAAAAAAACATCCAAAAGAGCGAATATGATATACGGGGGATGAAGTCTATTTTGAAGACTTGGGGGAGAGTATTTGCAATTATTCCAAACTTCAAAGGTGCACTTTGTAAACGCACTTTTATTCCGTATGCAGTAGCGGGTTGTACCTTCACCTTCCACAAATGTCCTAAAAAAGATCCCGCTCGTAGCCCTAGTTCTCAGTTCTTCGTTACTCACTCGAGGAAAGTACACCACAGCTACATCGTCATTCGGCTCATCTATTTCAAAACCCTAGAAGATGTCAGGCGGGTTCTTCCGGGTTAGTTCTTTCACTTATAACACCAATTTCATCATGAATATCTCGTTCGATTAAGTTACTTATTGATATAGATGATTCGAGTAGATCTTCGTGGCTCAAGTTGTGAAATTACCGATTGATTTTGTTTTCTGGCAGGGTACTACGGCCGATCAAGACACTCGTTTCTCAAACAAGCATGCTAAGCTTCTTAAATCGCAGAAGTTTCCACCTGAATTGGAAAATCTGGTTCGTTTATCTATACATCATCGTGTTTTCATTACCTTGTTCCTGTTCGTAAGGGGGCCTTGTGCAACCGGGGAATCATTATTGTTAGTTATCTTGAGTGTACGTGAGAGTCAATTTATTGTATCTTGACCTCCGAGGTAAAACAAAAGGTTCAAATTTCCAAATTTTAGTGAGGATTTCGAGAAAGAAACGACGACTATGCTAAAAATTTTCCAATACAGGAATGCTAATGTTAGATCTATGCTAAAACCAGTATCAATTTTTTAGCTTGGAAAATAATAGGTTTATGTTTAGGGGTCAAAATGCTTGTGGGATTTATTATTTGTTATTATTATTATTTTTTCTGTGTGTGTGTTTTCTCTTTTCTGGAATGGTAGGAGCATCTTCAGTGAAGGATGATATGAGGATATGACATTAGATGTAAAGCTAAGACCTTTCTAAATGTAATATGTTAACTAGCTCATAGTGCAACATCTAAAAGGGTGATTGTATTCGGATCCCTATTACTAGATGCATCCACTGATTGGACCTATGTGAGTGGTTGACCCCCTACTTAAATCGTGAGAAAGGAATTATGTAGAACTGCTACAGAAGGAATTATGTGGACAGAAATCAAGAAACATCAGTTTATTTTGTAGGGATAATTCTGGAAAATGCGTAATCTGACTTTGGAATTTTCCTATGAGGATGTTGTAATTTTATGGGATGTATAAAAAACATAAGGGTTACAAACATGGGATAGTAGAATTCAAGCATGATAAGCATAAAATTTCAATGCATTATAACTTGTATTACACACTTGAATTGTTATCTTGCTTTCTAGTGGTGAAATTGTTTTTGATGATAGTTTGGTCTTGTCTTCAGGTGGACATGACAAAAGTTAAGATGGATGTGATGCGCCCATGGATAGCTCACAGGGTGACTGAACTTCTTGGGTTTGAAGATGAAGTTCTGATCAACTTTATTTATGGACTTTTAGAGGAGAAGGTAACAAACATGCTACCAGCCTACCATATAAGATTTACTTCAAACTTATGTTTTTCTAAATCCTTGTATTCAGAATTAGTGCTGCTATAAGAAGTCCGACAATCTGTTACATGTTTTGTTGTATGCAGGTAGTTAATGGGAAAGAGATTCAAATTTCACTTACTGGATTTATGGAGAAAAATACAGGGAAATTTATGAAGGAGCTTTGGACACATCTTCTGAGTGCCCAGAATAATGCCAGTGGTGTCCCTCAACAGTTCTTGGATGCCAAGGAGGAAGAAACTCGAAAGAAGCAGGTAGTTTTTTTTTTTTTTTTTGGTAAAGATATGGTTTCTTTTTGTATATCATCTGTCCTCTAACTATAGCATGATGTATATATAGGAGGATACAGAGCGTATAATGAGAGAATTGAAGAGAACAAAAGAGAAAGAAGGGCATGAGCGGGAGGCTGAACAAGAAAGAGTGAAGATGGTAGTAATTCTTTCCATGCAAGTTAGTTAGCGTAGAGTCAAGTTTTTGGTTTTGACGTATGGTTTTCTCATGACATTCAGCTTGCTTCTGCAATTATTTGGGTTCATGTCCTTTCCTCAAACTACTGTAGGACAGAGAGGTTGCTGCTGCTGCTACGTTGGAGCCCCACTCAAGGAGTCGCACTAAAGATTCTAGCAAATGGTCAACTGTAGATGACAAAGGGACTGATGATAGGAATAATGGCTCAAAAGCAACACCCAGGATCACCCGCTCTCCACATTCACCTCATCGTTCTCTCTCACCACCTCGGTATCTATTCTCTTTATTACCTAAACTTCTATATTTTGCATTGTTTGAGTTGATTTTTTAGTATCTAACTGTTTATCTTGTGTTTCTTGTGCAGAGGTACACGTTCAAGATCAGTTAGCAAGTCATTCTCCAATTCCAGAAGTCATTCAATGTGTGCATCTTTCCAAAATTATTTATAATCCATGATCTTTATATATATATATATATATATATATATATATATATATATATATATATATTTCATTTAATACATACCATATCTCAGGTCCAGAAGCTTGTCAGCATCTCCTAAACCTCCAAGGCGTTCGGTTTCTTCTGAAAGGAGGCGTCGAGTTGACTCACGTCTGCATTCCCCATCCCCTCCACCACGTCCACGTGGACGCTCGCCTTCACCTGCAAGGCGAAGGCTGCGATCCCCTGTGAGACGCAGATCTCGGTCTCCCATGTGGCGTAGATCACGTTCACCTATAAGGCGTAGGTCCCGCACACCCATCCGGCGAAGGTCCCGCTCTCCCATCCGCCGGAGGTCACGGTCTCCCCTCCGGCGAAGATCACGTTCTCCCCTCCGGCGAAGGTCCCGCTCTCCGATCAGGCGCAGGTCACGTTCTCCGATCAGGCGGAGGTCACGTTCTCCGGTGAGGCGAAGGTCGCGTTCTCCGCTCCGGCGAAGGTCTCCGTCTCCGTTTCAACGCAGGCCGAGATCTCCTTTCCGTCACGGGTCACAATCCTCTGCTTCTCCTCCGCCGCGCCAGGTGTCAGTGTCTCCTTCACCGGTTCGGCGGAGGTCCCCGTCTCCTCCTGTAAGGCGGCGATACCAGAGAGCACCGTCAATTCCACGTCATCGGTCTCCTTCGCCAGTTAGGCGTAGGCCAGCTTTTTCCACCCGTCAAAGATCCCCACCAAGTCCTCGAAGTATGTCTTCTTCCCCATCAAGGCAAACTTCTCTTTCCCCTAGACGTGCTACTCCCATGAAAAGTTTCAGGGGATCACCAAGGCGCCAACAACAGAGATCACCTCTACAATCTCCTAGAGATGGACACAGGTTCTTGATACTTCTAGATTGTCTTTTTCGTTTCTTTGATTGTTACTCTTGCTTGTCATATTTTGTTTACATGGTTCTGAACCCATGGAGCAATTTTGCAGAGGTGCTCAGAGAAGTGTTGTTGATCGTCAAGCTCCACGAAAAGAGACTGCTCCACCTCCTGTTTCAGGAAGGTCTTTGGAAAGAGATCCAAAGGGCAGGAGAGCTTCTCATAATGGAGGGCCAGCTTTATCTTCTCCACAACATAGCTCTCCTATGGGTTCTGTATCTCCCCCTCCTGCTGCCAGAAGTCCTAGTGTCGAGAGGAGGTATATATATATATATATATATATATATATATATATATATATGTGTTCCATTATAGTGTAACATTATATATCTAATGTGTTACTTTAACATGTGTCAAATTTTGCGGACATGTAAAACCATATAATAGATGATATTGTTTTCTGACAACAGTCCTATACTTCCAAGGAGACAGAGAGAAACTATGGATACCAAGGACCGTATGGATAATGTTGAGGTTGAAGAAAGGACCTTTTCCAGGTTGGCTCTCTATTCAATAGATATTATATTCTAAGGTTTAATTACTTAACATTTTCAAGAGAGAACTCTTTCCATTTATTTACTTCCACTTGTGGCCTTAGCATACGAAAAAAAACCAGGCTTAGTGGGTACATTTAGGTTGGCCGAATTTGCATGGGAAGACAAATTTGTAGGTTGAGTGGGTCCCACCAAATTATGTCTCTTCTTTAATGGCTATTTTCAGCCTCCATGAAACTTTTCACTAGGTTTAGATGTGTAGTATAAAAGCCTTCATCTCTTTATTTGCCAACTGTGTTATATTCAATTGGTTAGCATTATATTCTAATGTATTTAAATTGTGTATCTTTCTAATTTGTTATGCAGAGTGAAGGAAGAGAAAAATGCCAAGAACAAAATTTCTCCTGAAAAGTTAACTAGTCATCACCGAAAGAGGTTTTTCTTTAACTAGCTAGTATAAATATAAAAAAAAACCATTAAAAGGGATTGTAATCTTTTTGTGATTTTGTAATTTGTTAGCAAGAAGGATGATGTAAGGAGGATATACCCCGATGAAGTTACAGAGGATCCCCCGCGAAGCCGTAAGGACATTTTAGCAACTGAAAAAGGGTATAAAGCTGGTGATGATAATAAGGAAGCAGCAGCAAAGTTGCAAAAAAGTGGGTCATTGGATTCTGGTGGTTCGGATGAAAGTGATGGTGGAAAGAGAAAACGCAAAAGGTCAAAAAAGAAAGACGCGACATCAGATGATGATGATGATGATTATAGTCATCATAGTCATGATGACTCTCACACAGAAGACAAAAAGGAAGCTAAAAAACGACGCAAAGAGGAGAAACGATTGAAAAAAGAGGAAAGGCGCAAACGACGCGAGGAACGACGTCGCAGGAAGGCAGAAAAGCAGAAAGGAAGGAAAGCAAGCGGGAATGTTTCTCCTTCTTCGGATGAAAATGAGGAAGACGCTGATCAGAAGAAACTTGAAATTGAGTTGAGGGAAAAAGCTCTTGAATCTCTCAGAGCTAAAAAGGGCAGCATTGGTCATTAGTTTTGTTGTTGATTTTCAATGCTTCCTTTTCTTTTTAAAAAAACTTTAAAATATTATTATGTTTTCTTTCTCCCTATGACATGACATTTGCATTTTGGTTGTGTATTGTATTGTTGATAACTGTTTAATACACTTTGTCTGTCTTTGCTGATGGCAGCTGAACGAAATTCAAGGATATTCATCGTGCTGACTTCCCTTCTGCTAAGTTTGCCGGTAATAAATGTTTTCCTTTTTGCTGGGGACTTAGTTTGCTTGTGCTTGTTTGGTGGATATATAGATCCATCTGTGGAAATAGTTAAATACTTGATATGATGTTTGTTGATTATCCTAAAAATATGCATCTGGATGTGTAGACTTATGACATTTGTTTGATTTGGGCTCTTGGGGATCAAACCTCCACAAGTTGAAAATGGTAATCTACAATCACATTCTTAATGATATGTATTGAGCATGCAAAATAGTTTTGAAATTTACTTTTTATTAATAGAGATTGAACATGACCATATATAATAAATACAATGACACAATGCTAGAGTATTGACTATTCTAGAAAGGAACCATTATGCTTATCGCATAACTTTTTGGAATTCAATGGAGAACACTTTATTTAAGGGTGGTATGCTTGAAAATGAGAGAAATTTAGTTATTAGGTGTTGTGTGCCTCTTTGGGTTGGTTTTTTAGTACAATTAAAATTATATGGTAAGGAATTCATTTTGCTACCTTTATCAATGACTGAGCTATTGGATGATTGAGATTGTCTTTTTCCGTGAGTATACTTGTAGAGTTGTAGGAGGTGGAGTCAATTTGAGAGGAGGATGTTTGTGGTTGATTAGAGGTTGAGATAGGGGAATGGTGATTAGGTGGAGCCGATTTTGGATAGTTTTATGATATGGTCTAGGTGACTGATTAATTGATGACCGGACGCCTTGGCACTCTTCATCCATTGTCTCCATCCGACTGCGAGTCTACAAATAGAGGTAATTGGTTGTGTCAGGCTCAGTCAAAGTCAAAGCCAGCCAATAATTGGGCGTGACGCTCGTTAATGGTCAAAATTAGCAAAATAAACGATTAATTTCCTGACCTAGTCAACTAGCTACCACTTGGCGATATTTACAACCATGATCAATATAAAAAAAATGGTTTTTTATGGCTCTTGGTTCAAGTTTAATGGCTTGATACATTTGTTGATGTGAACATAGGAAACAATTCAAAAGTTTTTATCGGAAGGAACCATCGTTGAAGTGGGGGAAGATGTTTGAGTAGAACATCAATCGGGGGAGGACCTTGAAAAACCAATTGAAATTTTCAACTTTTTTCTCAAATAACAGGGCACCTGTTACTCCTATAGAATGACAAGTTTCACATTGAGAAATCTTGTTTTGATGAAAATGGGCTCTCTACCTTGCGAGGATAGGGGAAAAGTTTCCTATTTTGTTGTGGGATTCAAATACATGATAATATGTGAATGGGTACCCTTGTAGTGACATAAGTTAATTTAGGTATTCGCTCCCAATTTTGATCACATATGTTTAATGCACTCCTTAAATTGTGAGGATTCATTTGATGAAATTGGAGAAGAATCATACTCAATCTATATTTTTTTTTTTCATTACATAAAGCCAAGTTCTAAAATAATTGTTAATAAAAGACATTATCAATGCTTTAATGGTATCAAGAGACAAGAATTGTAGAAGCTCCCAAACACCAATGTGAACCAGTAAGATGTCTTGAAAATCTTAAAGTGCTTATTGGAAATGAGAGACGATATTGTGTTTGGTCATTTGACACCTTACATGATAACTCACCAAATTTATATTCTGAAACATCAATGCAAACACAATCTCGATTAATGCAGTCTTCATTAATGCAAAAGAAGTTGAACACGATCAATCATTATCCCATAGTGGAGAATAAGCATGGATGTCTGACAGACGAAATTGGAAAGCACAGAAACTATCTATAAATCTATAGGTAAAGAGGTATAAGCAAATGGTGGTCGTCATTCAAAAAGGAGAACAATCACAGGATGTAAAGTTGATAAGCGCCTATTCAGGTTTTAAGAATGTGTTTGTCTCACATACATTACCATAAATGTGTCACATTGCTGATTTAAGTTCATGACATAAAAAACTAACATCTGTTATTCTGTTCTATAAAAAGGTGTTTTTAATATGTTGGTAAATTTTGTATATCACTAAAGTCGCAATTTCAATAAAATAACAATTGTTAATATATATTTTAAATAATTAAAAAATCTACCACCACCAAAATATATAAACTTTGAGTTAGAAAATTTTTTATGACACAAATGCAACCGAAAGAATTTTAAAAACTAAACTTGATTATTACACCAATCTGTTTTTCTTGAGTGTTACTACTCTGACTAAAAATTTACACTGCAGTAGGAAATCAACCAACAAATTGCTGGAAAGTTCAATTGCAAATCTTTACCGTGTATATATCTTTGGTGGTACTAGGGCCCCTCTTACAGCTGATATGCACGTGCCAACAACAAATCAACATTCAACGTCCAGGATCCTCTTCCATCTGCAAAACAGAAAAACAAGACTGTTTATTATACACTTTGTTTAGTCTTGCCATTTAAAAAGTGTACTTATATTTATAGCATCAAACATCATATTTCCTATTTTTTCTTCAAATCATGGTTAGTAGTCTTTAGAGTTTAGATGCACGCCCTTTCCCACGAGGCAATTTCTTTGAACCCAAATCTTCAACATCCTTTAGTTCATAATAATGAGGTGCTATCTCCACAAGCCACTCAGGTTTTATCTCGCTGACCTGTCGTACATACTCCTTAGTTGTCAGCACCAGTTCATGATATACCACCCACCTTGGAAGCGCCTCACATAAACCAGAGCTTGGGTGGATGTAAACAGTCTGCGGATGTTTAACACTTCTATAACATCCATTCTTCTGCAACTTTGCTGAGTGTGAGAAGTATCCTGATGTTATGCACTTGTAAATTGCATCCAAGTCCCCTGAGTTTGACACCAATTCGATCTCAACCCTTTCCACAATCCCCTTCAGTTGATCTCTTATGTCACGTCCTTGTTTCATACTCCTCAACTGAATGTAGTTATCATAGCACCACTGAGCAGAAAAGTTAGTTTCCTTCCACAAATTATAAACATTAAGAAGAGCCACATGATCACCAACATTACCTGTATAAAAGTTCAAACGGGCATTATCAGCATGGACTTGTTTATTCTTTGGCCGATAGAACACCGAGTTTTCAATCGACAACATGGCAGCAATCGTAATTATCTCATCTGAACATTTGTATTTATCAGATGCCACAATCATCTTCGACAGCATCGGGTCAAGTGGGAATTCCGCCATTTTCCTCCCAACTTTTGTCAACTCCCCATATTTATTAAGTGCACCCAACGCAAACAGCAGCTCCAAAGCTTTAAGCACCGCCTCAGATGGTGGTGGATCCATAAAATCAAAAGTCAACAAATCATCGATTCCAAGACTTGTTAAGCTCAAAACCACATTTGCCAGATTCGTTCTTTGGATCTCGGGGACTGAATTGTCATCCAATTCGTTATAGTAAGTGTAAGCCGTGTACAACCTGAAGCACTTCCCGGGACCCGTTCTACCCGATCGACCCGCCCGTTGATTTGCTGATGCTTTTGAAATTGGGATGATCTTTAACGATTCCATTCCGGTTCGCGGGTCGTAAAAATTCATTTTCACGAATCCCGGGTCGATAACGTATTTGATTCCATCGATTGTTAATGATGTTTCTGCAATGTTGGTGGCAAGAACAACTTTTCGTGCCCCTTGAGGAGTTGCTTCGAATACTTTTGCTTGAAGCTCGGTTGGGAGATTTGCATAAATTGGGCATATTACTAATTCGGGTATTTTACTACCCAAACCATGTGTTCTCTGTTTGAGGATCTCTTGGGCTGTTTCGATTTCTTCTTGACCCGTGAGAAAGACCAAAATGTCGCCATCTCCAGCGGGTTCATTGACATGGATTTGAAGAGCTGTGACAATTGCTGCATCAAGGTAATCGGCCTCTGGTACTTTCGTGTAGTTAATCTCAACAGGAAATCGCCTTCCTGGAATTCTAAAAATTGGGGCACAATCAAAATAGTCGCTGAACTTTTCTGCATCGAGAGTGGCACTTGAGATCAGCAACTTGATATCAGGGCGGAAGCGTGCGATCTGCTTAAGTAAACCAAACAAGAGATCAGTTGATAATGTTCTTTCATGAGCCTCATCCACCATCACCACACTGTAACTTTTAAGATCAGGTTCACCTAGAAATTCACGAAGCAACATTCCATCAGTCAAATATTTGATCACTGTTTTCTCACAAGTACAGTCTTCAAAGCGTATTGCATACCCAACCTCATGACCAAGTTTGACATTCATTTCTTGAGAAACTCTTGCAGCAACACTCATGGCAGCAACTCTTCTTGGCTGTGTGCATCCGATCATCCCACGTTTTGTGTATCCAGCCTCATGAAGATATTGTGGTATTTGAGTCGTCTTCCCTGAACCAGTTTCACCAACAATTATAAGAACCTGATGATCTTCAACAGCTTTTAGCAAAGACTCTCGATACGGATACACAGGTAAAGTTTTTCTGTCTGCAAGAAGCTTCTCGTGTGCTGATTTTGCTATGGATCTTTCACGTTCTTCCTCTTCATCAACATCTACACCACCCATGACTTGTTCCTGTATGAACTCAATCTGGTCCTCAAACACAAAGTTATAATCGTCAGATTGCTTTTTGTTTTTTGATCCAAATTTTAGCGTTGCTTTGTTAATCTGATGATCCTCCCATGCTTCTTGTTCGGCAAACAGATTCATCTTATCACCATCTTTTGAATCTATGTATCGCTCCAAAGCTACAGCAAATCTTTTCTCTTGATTGACTCCGCCTTCTTCATCATATCCATCAGGCATATGATACTCATTGACATTATCATCCACTTGTGACCGCTTCTTGACTACCTCATATACTTGTTTCTTGTATCTTAGCTCACGTTGTTTGGCTTCAGTTAACTTGACACCCTCAAATAGATACTCCTCATCTTCTATATCATCTTTGATTTCCTCCAATTTCTTCTGCTCCCTTTTCTTGAGATACTCTTGCCTCGAAACATTTCTTAAAGCTCTAATCTCATCATCTTTCAAGGCATTGGCTCTCCTCATTGCTTCTTTTTCATCCCTCTTTGACAACTTCTGTTCAGTCAGCTTTCTTATCCTTGATGCATCTTTTTCTCTTAAACGACGTTCCAAATCTTCTCGTTCTATTTGGTCGCGGAACCTTTCTTCTTCAGATTCAGAATCATCTGGTTTGTCATGAGAATATTTTTGTTTGACCCTTCTTTCTTGTTTCAAACTTCCAGAACCCTCATCATCATCATCATCATCTGGGTTTTCGCTCCTCTTCCTAAATCGTTTCACATCTTTATCGACTACAGAAACAGAGCCACCAGGCACATCTTTGGCATCATCGTCATCTGCCTCCAATAGCGTGCAAGTGATCCTCTGCTTCCTGGTTAGCATTGGTGCAGCCTCTTCTTGATGTCGATAAAGATTTGATCCAGAACTCTTATGTTCAACTTTCTGGAAAATTTCTTCAGCAAATGCACGTGTTTCGTTTGAAGATGGCACATCCATATCTTTACGATTACTAGATATACCAGAAGATGATGAATCTTTATTAACTAAACTAATTAGGGAACAATATGGACTGAATCAGCGTTGGTTGTGAATATCCCAAAAGGGGGATCAGTCTTTTTAAACCCCAACTCCCCAAGTGTTCAAGTTAAACGTATTGGACAAGTTCCGTGTTGAACAAGTAACTGGCCAAACAAAGCCACCAGATGTGTTAAGTGTTTTTTCAGGTTTCTAAAACATGTTAAATTAGGGTTATTGGATTTTGAAATTTCGGGTTGGTCGCTCGTAAAGGTAACTTGGTTTTCTGATTTTTCTTTTTAATATAAAAAATATAATATAGAGAAATTAAATTGCCTTCTATTCCTATAAATATTCTTATTTTTAAAAGAGAAATTAAATTACCTCATACCTTTTATACTTACAATTATTCCCACCCATTACAATTATAACAAATAATCATTCAATTTAATTATATTTGATATATTCATAATATAGTTTTAATGAGTTAGTTAAATAAATATGAAATGATGACACTTGCCATATTTTTATTAAGTAGGAACATTTGTAGGTATAAAAAGTAGAAAAAAATTTAATTTCTCTAAAAGAGAAATTAAATTACCTTCTACCTTTTACCTCCTCTTAAAATTACAATACTTGTTATCATTCAACCATCCTATAAAAATATTCCTATCACAACACTTGTTATGGGCGTTGATAGATATGAAACATATGTAGTTCCCATTAGTGTTTTCTTCGGTAGCCTTCATTCAAATATAATAATAAAATGCTAAAGTATTAAATATGCAAAACCATCATCCATATCTTTTATTAATTTTATTTATATAATAATAAAATGCTAAAGCATTAAATATGCAAAACCATCATCCATATCTTTTATTAATTTTATCTATATAATAGTATAATGAGGGAATGTTTTTGGAATGGATACACACACAATGCCAATAACAACACTTATGTAACTGAACAAACTTAGGTGAGATGTGTTATTGAACATGTTG